AAAACAGTCAAGGATAGAGAGTGTAATAGGTAAAGCTAGTCATTCATATCTGAAAATCAAAAGTACCCTGTTGAGTTTTTGATGACTAGTCAGCCGATGGAAAAATGTTTTTACACTGGGTGAGTCAACACACACCAATCCTTTCTGCTATTCTGTTGATCAGCAGTTAGTGGCAGTAGCGCACAAAGGTAGCAAAGCAGAAGAAAACTACAAGCAAGTAAACATTGATGTAAAAAATGCAGTATTCACATTTTTTCCCTGTTTTATTGGAAAGGAAATAATTTCTACATGTTTATTAGACCTCATCAATACAATAAAATTAATTTTAGTAGAATGGAAAAAAACTATGATATAAATAAAAGCATAACTTTTCTTTGTCATGAGAAAATTCTACTGTGCACCTTTAAAAAGCAACTTAACACTGCTGCTTAAAAGCAGTGTTTTCCTTAAAGCGATAGTTCAGGTTATTTAATGTGGGGTTGTGTGAGCTACTTATACATAGTCAGTACAATTTGGATTGGGGCCCTCTCAGTTTAGGGAATCAGAAAAAACAAGGAGGACAAAAGACAAAAGACTTATGTTGCCATTTAATTTGGAGGAGATGTTTTAAACAGTGGTCAAAGGTGCATATAAACAAAGGCACATATAAACATAAGTACATAACATAACTACATCTGAGCACTGTAAGTTCCGATGCAGCAAGGGAATTTGTTGCATGTCATCCCAGTCTTTTATCTCCCATAATTGGAAGAAGAATTTTTCAAACATTGTCACATGTCAGTGTGTTCTTGTTTGGAGGTCCAGAAGTGTTTTGAGAGTAGATTTGACACTGTTTTGACAGACTTGAAAAGGCAACTAAGCCAGGTATAAATCATGCACAGCAAAATGCATAAGCTATATTTGAGGAAATGTGAACTAGACACAGAAATAAATTTGCCAGATATGTAAATGACTAGTGTTCTTCATTAACATTGTCTCATTTGTCACACCAAGTGCCTCACGTTTGCTTTTTTTTTTTTTTTTTTTAACCCAGCGGTCAGTTCATGAGGAGCTAGGGATCAATATTGCGCTCGCAACAAGAGGGCAGAAAGTCCAGTAGTGGAGCAGCTTAACAGCTCCACAAAGACCTGGATGTTTGAGCTGGGAGGCAGGAGATCAATGGTGTAAAATAGGAGAGAATTAACAATGGTAGCAGAGCAAGGGGAGGACAGTCTGCTTTGACCTGGTGTGTGTTGAGACGACAGGCTTCACCCTGTCGCCCTGATAATCGCTCCACTGGAGGGGGATAAGGCCAAACAAGAATGGCTGTGATAAAGTCAAAGCTCCGAAGTATTTGAGTAAAGGAGTAGTTGCCAAGGAAAACTAAGGGTTATTATCAGGACTGTGAAAGTTAAATTAGATTAGTAACCTCCTGCAGTGAAAGGTAAAATGTGTTAATTTATGTAGGGCTGGAAAAAGTACTGGAAACCTGTTTTCAAGTAAAAGTACTGTTTTAATTTAAATCAAGTGGAATCAAATTACCTGTGTAAAAATGTGCTCAGATAAAAGTACAAAGTAAGTCAGTTAAAATGTACACATTTAAAAGGGAGGAAGGGGAGGAGTAAAACATGTTATATGGCTGACTGACTGAACCGACTGCAGAATCTGGAGAATAAAAGCTTGTAGAATATGATAAAAAAAAAAGACTGTTGACATGGACATAAAAACAACTGAATCAACAAAAGAAATTGATTCAACTGAGTAAAAGGACTGAAGGACTCAATGACTCAAGTAAATGCACTTAGTTACTATCCACTCCAGCTCTTTTATGGTTTAAGGGAAAGCAACTTATTTGATCACCTCCTTCTGACAGCTTTTTTTTTTTTCTTTACATATGGACATCAACACTATAGTTCTCATTTCCAACAGAAAGCTGTAAAACAGATCAGAGTTCATTACAGTAAAAGTGATGTTCTTGTTCTTGTCATGTTTTTTGTTCTTTAGATTTCTTCTTTTCACCTCCCGACAACATGGTGGCCAGGTATTTCATGAGTGACCTTCCCCTCCACACACCTTAACCCATCAGCCTCCATGTTTTCATAAAACATTACTGAGATTTAATTTCATGTGTCAAAAGTCTAATGTAAACTTGTGTCTGGTCTGAACATGCTTTAAGAACATGTCTTTGGGGGAGTAAACAGTGTGAATAGATTTTCCAAAACAGTTATGTTTGTCATATATAGTCACATATTGAAGGTAACACCGATCATTTTTAAATTAAGAAACAGAACAGCTCTTCAGTTTTCCGCAGTGAGTTGTGTGAACAACCTGCTGCTGTGACACAGGTGAACTCGCGCTATGGGAAGTAGACGGTTGTCAGACTTGACTGCAGTCGTTTAATACTGCGGCAGCTCACATTGCCCGTCAAGTCAAGCGTAGTCAGCCGAAGTTAAACGTGAACGCATACCCTCTATGCATGGGTGAGTGTTGTAGTTGCCAGTCAGAAGCTCAAAATGGACTTTTATCTAGTTTTAAGCCAGATGCACTTTATACACCTTGGTGGTTTTTAGCTATATATTTTAACCAGATGAAGGATTTTAGTTAACGAACATCTGGATATTAAGATATCAGAGAAAAAGGCCAGGCAAATGTTAGGCAGCTCAGCTCCCAGGTGCTGGAGACGTCCTGCCCTGTGTCTGCCGAATCACAGATTTAAAGAAAAAAAGAAAAAGAAAAGTGAAACTGCTTTATTATTTTACCGATTTTAATCCCCTGGTCCATTATGGAGAGTAGGGCACCTTTACGGATAATTCGGCAGCCGGGAAAAATCTGTTGAATGACTGGTTCAAAATATATATTTAAAAAAACAAAACAAAAACTAAGGTAAGCAGTCTCAGTTTCAGCTACTCCCTTTCCGCCGACGCTCAGCCGTTTTAATTAAAAGGAGGAGATCACTGTGAATTATTCGGCTGCCGGTAAAAACCTGCTGAACTCTGGTTCATACGAAATTAAGGAATCCAAGGTAACCAGTCTCGGTTTGCAGCAACTACTAGACCTTTATATACAGTCTATGTGCTAGGCATCATGTGTCCGCGGACAAGCATTGGTGAATCACAGATTTTTTATACGTTATTTTTTTTTTTTAGGGCATTTTTACCCTTATCTGGATCGCTACAGTGAGAGAGACAGGAAAGTCACGGAAACAGGGGATGACTTGCGGTCCACGGGTCGGACCGGAACCGAGCCACTGTGAGCAGCTAAACTGGGGCGCAAGGAATTACTGATTTTTAAAGTGAAACAGCTTTATGGGGGTTTTGTACCAGTTTTAATCCCCTGGTCTGTTTGTTATGGAGAGGAGGACACCCAGTGGATCATTCGGCTGCCGGTAAAAATCCCATTGACGTCTGGTTCATAAGTTATCAGAGAAAACAATCAAAACAAAGGCTAGCAGCAGTCTGAGCTCCCAACTCTTCCCTGAATCAAGCGTCCGTGAAACACTGACTTTAAACGTGAACCTGCTTTATTTAGTGTTTTTTGTTAACGGTTATAATCACCGGGTCTGTTTTAATTTCCTGAAGGAATCCAAACTGGGAGAAGCTGACGGTAATTGTGGTGAATACAACAATTCTCACGACGCCACGCCATTCCATGACGTCACCCAACACTGTCTTTTCTTATTGTTTTGATTGAGAGACTCCTGGCGACAGAAGTTACATACTGTGCGTTTAAATATTTAATCTCCTCAAGTAACTTTTGAAAGCTCATCTTTCTCCACAGTCTGCTCCAAGCTTGCCTTTCTTTTCCTCTTTTTTTTGGCTCCTTCATTAGATTAACATTGATATTCATTAACACCTGATCTACCCTGTGAGCCTGTGCACTGGGTCTGGCACGGAGCCTCCATAGGAAATCAATGTTATTTTCATTCATCCAGTTGGGAGGGCCCACATCACTTTGCTTCCACATGCAGTAGTCGCAGTAGTGATTAACAGGCTAGTAAAGGAGAGTAAACAGTGATCCTTAAGTAAAAGCTGTGGCTGTGGGCCTCTGACATCACTCAAGTGACGAGTAAACATATCTAAGCAAACTGAGGAGACAATTTAGAAGGAGAGATGAAGAATTGGTTGAAGGAGCTAGAAGAAGGGATGAAAAAAGACAGAGATAATGCATAGGTTATGGTTAATCATGTCTATCATTGCTTCTCTCTTCCGTTACTGATCGGGGAGTGAGGGATGAGGACAAGTTGGCCAATTTTCCCAAACTCCCAGTGGATGCCCTTGAAAGTGACAAATTGCCAGGTTAATTGTGTCGGGGTCACGGCCATTTGGCGGGAATGAGCCACTTTATTTGGAGCGAAAATCCATAAAGGGAGTTCACTCTCAATCTACTCTGTCTCTGTTCGGATCCAGTGAGGGATGGTCTCGGTCCTCTGGGAAGATTCCTCAACCATCCAAAGTGAGTGCAATAGATACGGAATATGACAGACAGGCAAGCCTAGAAATCAAGTTAATTTTCCTCAGTTCAGCATTTTTAAGTCAGCTACCTGACAGGAAAAGATGTATTTTTTTTCTCTCAAACTACCCACCCCTGGGATCAATTGCACTTCATTTTCTGTCTGAAATAAATGAAGCAGGGGGCATCTCCATTGAAGAACTATAGAATTCCTGGAACAGCTCTCATCCCTAAACCCAGCCACCTGCTCACCCCCTATCTTCCCTTCAGTCCACCTCTTAATGCATTTTCAAATATCTATTTCACAAATGCTGAAGAGAGGCCAGACAAACAATTTGAATTTACACCTTAGTAAGTACATGCAAGGTTGAGTAGGGTCAGAGCTGAGCCATAAAGGAGACAAGCGTTGGGGCTTGTTGGGCTGGTGTGGAGTGTGTGTTGGCATACTGTCAGTGGTAACTATGAGCAGAGATTTTTCTGGGCAGAGGCAAGCAAGTGGGGGTCTGTGTATCTGAAGCAAAGCCAGCTCCATCCTCTCTGCCATGCTGAGATTAGGGAAGAAGAGAAGGCTTTCATATAACTGACTCTCCCTGTGGCATGACTGCGGAGAGGCAGCGAGAAAAAGGCAGACAGTCAGGCTGGATGGCTGGTTGGATGGATGGAAGAGGGAGGCGAGGGATTTAAGGAAATAACGTGAACTGGTGCAGAGGAAGAAAGTGAGAGTGAGTTCTCTTTTTTGTCTCTAACTGTACAAGGAGAGGTATGTACAGGGGGCTAGCAGTGTCCTCCAGGACTCCAGGATAATAGGTTGTGGAGAGCTGACAGACCTCATTCTCTCCCTCCGCCCCTTCTCTATCTGTGTTCCTTCTTTCTTCCAGCCAGTCTCTATCTTGCTCATTCACCCTCTCTCCCTTTCTTTCTATTTATCTAGCTCAGTTTCTATGGGAGCAGCCAGCCAGAGGAGCCTTGAAGTCGGAGAGAAGAAGGAAGGAGCAAAGCCAGGTGTGCAGCGGGAGCATGATGGGCCCAGAGGTCGGGCTGAGAGGTGAGGGACAGACACTGGAGTGTGTGACAAAAGGATGAGCTTCACTGCTAATGACTCCCACAGGGGAGACCAGCTGCTCAGTTTGCTAAGGCTTACACATGCACTGCTACTGTGTAGGATTGACTCGGCAGTGTGATAGAGCGTGCACATGAAAACACAAACTTTACAGGACTTGGACATCAGGAAACACCGCTGCACACAAAGCCCTCCACCCCACCCCCACGCCCTGTCCTCAATTTGCACTCTGCTGTCATGGGACATGATGCAGTCTCACTTATGAATTCAGATGTTACATTCCATCTACTGAGTAGTGTTTTTGTCCGTGGCTGTAAAAGGGATGTTTCGGCACAGTAAAGCATAATCAATAATACATTGGACAGTCATCTGTGTGATAGCGAGAGATTTCTAACAACCTCCCCAATGCTTAAACAAAGAGGAGCTCCACTGTATGGCAATGCATGTGAGCCCTCTAGTGTTAAACCCAGCACTAGTTTCATTTACTTGGAGCAGGATAAAATAACAGCGGCAAAGACGGGCTCAGTGCCATGTTTGTGTGCTTTTTTTCATAATGCTGTGCACTGTGTCAATTTGTTTGTTGTTTAGAATATCCCATGCATTTTTAGCTGAAAGACTGAATGTTTTTTTTCCTTAAATGTTACACACACAATTTGCAAATTGTAATTTACATCATCTTGGCTATAATGTAATTTAACTGACTGAAAAAACCTCAAGAAAAAAGCACATATTTACCTCCATTCATACAGTATTTGAAATGGGCATTTAAAATGACATAAAGTCCTTGATATTCAATTTACAAAATACCATTCAGGTGACATTTGCCTGCAGATTTTCACGAGAGAGAGAATGTCCATCGCTTTAGAAGGCATGAAAAACCTTCAAGGCCTGGACTCTATTTGGCGAATAATGTGATATTAAGTAGATGTGACATTTTAAAAGAGGCTTTAAAATCCAAGCATTGATCAAATGCAGGGTGACAAGCATCATAGCTCAGTTAATGGCTTTCTCAATGAGACTTTCCGAAGGTTCACTGATGGACTGTGGGTATGTCATGGCAAACTGCAGTGGGTTTTCCTATATCTGTATTTCCATTTACAATAAGTGGTCATTTAGCTATTGATTGTCATGTTTGTGTTTACATAAGCAATAGCTTAACACGTTGTACACAATCACACTCACTGCCAAGGGTCACAGTGATGCATCAACAGGGATGTTAATTCCATGGCTAAATGTCCTTTTAGATGTCCTCTCTGAGAAAATAGTTTACTCTCTATTAGAGAGTCTGTGATACACCTGAATGTTGATGTTATTCAAAAAGGAAGCTATTTAATAAGGGGAGCTGTGAGAGATACTGAATTGGGTTCATTGTATTATTGAGTCCATGCTGCTTCATATATGACTGACACGATCGATTGTACCATACTTAACATCTCAGCATTTGCCTATAGTCTGTTGATTCACATTATATATGCCTACAAGGCATTTGATGGATATGCAGTCTGATTTCCTTCATTCTATGCTTTGGGAGCCATCTTTGCATTCTGGAGAGTAAAGGACAAAGATGCTGCTGTACTATCACATAGGACATCTGGTCAAATGATTTTGTGCCAGATGTCCGTTGTCTAAGAGGGTCCTTTGTTACGAGTGGTTCTTGTACTACAGGCATCAGTAATGGTAGAGACAGAATTAAAACAAAGCATTGTATATCAGCAGTGTTCTTTTCTTTTTGAAAATAATTTACAGGCATTAGAAAAAGTTGTCAGTTGTTGACACCACTCTGCTTTATGTACACTAATCATGAAGCTACATCCAGCAGCCTGTTAGCTTAGCCAGCATAAAGCCTGGAAGCAGGGGAAAACAGCTAGCTTAGCTCTGTCAAAAGGTTAAAATATCAGCACATCTAAAGTTCATTAATGAACAAGTTTTACATGTTTCCTCTTTCTTGGCCAATTGCAGTGACTTCCCAGAGTCACTTTGGGCACAACCAGGCCAGGTGTTTACCCCAGTTTCCAGCCTAAGCTAAACTTATAACTTGCTAGTTGTATAGCTTTGTGAGAATGAATTTGAAAAGCGATTTCCCGAAATGTCTAACTATTCCTTTTTAATTTACTGTAGAGATCTATTCAGTTGCTCAGTTGTTTTGGTCTCAGTATTTAGGCATTTACTTTAACAGAGAGAAATTTCTGCTCATATTGAATGTTTGCTAACCCAGGCATATTTCAGATGGTCTCTGAGTAATGTATTATTTTAGTGAGTGCATTAAAATTTGAAGAGTATGACATGCGTAAGTCCAGAATTTGGTCTTGCAGATGATCGCTTTAAATGCAACTTGTTGCTCACTGATGTCAAATAATATTAAATCAGATTTCAAGTTACTGTACCGTGTTAAACGCTAGAGTAAGCAGAACATTTTGAGTACAGCACGGGCGTTTTTGCAGACATTGCATCCTCGCAAGTAGTCCACGTAAATGTGTGGCTCTAACAGCGGCCTATAGCAGGGTGAACCCATCAAGCCTGATCATTAATCAATTTTTGTCAAGAATGCATGTCGGTATGCATGCATACACAGTACCTGCATGCAGAAATGTGTGTTTATATGTGCATGTGCTGAGACACAGTATGTCCTTTCTAGTTTTTTTTTTTTTTTTTTCAGCAGTCAGTATAAATGAGTTTAAAAACAGGGAGGTAATTGATGGATTTGACTAAAAGGTCAGGATACAAGGGCATGGTGGGACTGCACTGGAAAAAGACTGTTTCACCTCTGAATGTCTCGGCTGCTGACATACAAATCAATCACTGTGACTGAATACTAAAAAACCATGCATGATGAATTTGCTCTCCTATCTAACGTTACTGTGGACAGTTTATTGTATTTCGTTTTAAATTATTTCAATTTTAAGAAGCACAGTGTAGGCTTGTGAAAATAAGTTAAATGTTGAGTCCATTATATATAAAATTTGATATATAGAAATACATATTCAGATCAGTGGGAAGCTTGGAATATCGGTTATACCTTGAAATATGTTATGGGAAATATTTTCCATGAACAATTAGAACTCATAACTACATTTCAAAGATGTCTGCTCATTGGATGGGTTTGTGGTCCCCACATATTTATTTGATTTTCATGCTGTCTGCTGTGTTTGAAGTCGGAAATGTTTCTTGTGGCGTTGACAATTTTACCATACTAACTTCATTTCTGTTGGCAACCAACATAAGAGTTGGCCAAATGGACATGCCAATTACTGGCATGTCCAGACCTCCTGCTCTGATTGGTTGGCGGGCAAATAAAACATTTTGTGTGCACTTTATGAAAGCCTAATAAGAGACAAAGAGGAAAACAGATGAAGCAGATTGCATGAGGGAGAGTAGGATAAAATGAGAAGAAATAATCCCTAACTGTGAAATCATCCATCTTTTGATACTCTGAATTTTGAAAAGGGATGCCCCCCCCTTCTTGCACACACAATCTCCCCACCAAATGTGGAGTCTCTCACACAGGCTTCAAAAATCAGTGAACTCCATCAGTGACTGGTGCGAGTTTGACTCTCAGCACAGTTTGTCTGGCCAACTGCCATGCTGTGTGAGTGTTGTCCTCGAGCTGCTGTGCGCTTGAGCTGCCCACATCCCTCTCCATCGAGACCGGCCTCCTCCTCTTCACTTCTTCGGACCACTGCTGGCAGTGGGACTGAGCACTCAGTGGATGTAGAGAGAGACATAACGTCTACAATTCCCCAACTCCCACCAGGAGAGTCACTCTAAGATTAATGAGTGTTGCGATGTCTGCTAGCTACATGCTTTGCCATCAAAAACTTGGACCAATAGATGCAAAATAACTTCAAGGGATGCGGGCGGTTTTGTTGAATTTTTTGGATGGAGTTTTTTTTTTTTTTTTTTTTTTCAAGCTATGTCTAAAAAAACATCACTGCATGGATATCACTGAAGAAAGTGCTCCGTATTCATTTGATTTATATAAAACATGAAAACCTATATATGCTCTGTCTTAGGACATTTCAGCGGAACCCTAACAGGCTGGATAGGGTAAAGAAATAATGAGCAGCAGCTGGAATACTACACTGCCACAGATAAGGGTTGCTGGTTTATTTCTTTTCCCAAAGCAATCTTGTAACACTGAATGTCTTTCTTTATTTTCTTTTTTTATTCCAAGGCTTCGTATGAAAGCTGCCTTATTAGGCATGTAGACAAAAGAAACACATTTCATTTTGTCAGGAAGTCATCCGGACAGACAAGTCTGTGGCAGGAAATGAAATGAAATAGGAAGGAGTGGCAGGAGTGAGTGGCTGGGGTGACATTTACTGTGATTAGGGTTTGTAGTGGTGAATGCGATTCTGCCATCTTTGTTTCGTACTCCTCTGTGATCCCTCACGTTTAACTTTCCCTGCTGCATGCACATGTTCATGACCTTTTGTGTCCTTGTATGAAATCCATAAATTAGATGAAAAAAGGAATTGAATTCATGCACACAGGTGCAGTACGAAACAGTACAACTGGAGAGGAGACTGTAGCCAGGTGCCACCATTTCTGTAAAAAAAAAAAAAGGAATGTAAAAATTTCCCTCAGGTGTGTGATCCTGATAAATTTTTACTAAATGTAGACTCATGAATATGAATATACACACACAACTTCATTATGAGGATGTCTACGTGTTTGCCTCTGCATATGCACTTCCACACCTGCTTGTCTGCAGGTTTGCGGCACAGTGCGACCATTTTTCGGTCTCTTCCAGCTACATCCAGAGTTCCCCTCCATCAAGGGCATAATGGTGCGATCCGTCGGCTGATAATGGCCGTGTGATCCACAGGTCGACCAGCCCGGTGCCCGAGCAGAACAGCCTCTCTCATGGCCCATTACAGTCTGCTTAATGACCACACTGATGACCCAAACTCTGTGGCAGGCTGTCCTCACTCTGCCTGTTTAAAACAACATTTCACTCCCCTCGTATTCAGCTGCTTCTCTGGCTG